ACTAAGTCTGACAGCTCTCCTGGCAACATGTTATATCTACTTTCCAGCCAGTGAAGCATGTCTGATTTTGACCAGGGGCACAAAACTGTCCTGACACAAACACTGCCTGCATGAAGGCGGTGTGTGGGTAGATAGGAATGTTTTCCCATCTGCACTGCATCTCTGTCTCTCGGGGAGGACGGACACATCCGCCCCTTGCTTCTTCTTGGCTCTACCTTTGATACTTCAGCTGGTGTGTTGAGTGTCTCTGGATATAATGTGATGAGGAAGGACCCTCCTTTTACTTCTCTGTGTTCCTATTAGAGAATTTGAATAAAAAGATGAGCAGGAATGGACTTCTCTTGAATTATAGAAAAATGGGTCCTCTGAGTTACATTAGAAAGTCTTCTCTGTAAGACTAGTATAAAAACTTCTCTTCCTTTTTTTTTTTTCCTTTTTTTAGTTAAGAGGAGGCTAAAGTATAAGATGGTACATCATCAGACACCAAGGAGCCTGTTCTCTTTGGCCTTACTTGGGTGTTTCCTGTCTTGACCTTACTCTATAGGTGCTCACAAACTGTGTGTCTAGTGGACGAGTCAGCATCGGGGAAGGGCCTTACCTCTGCAAGGTTGCAGACTGTACGCCAGGTGTCCTCAAACTCTGGCCTGCAGGCCACATGCAGCCCGCCGAGGACATTTATCTGGCCCGCTGGGTGTTTTTGCCGCTGCTGCCTGTCCTGCTTAGCAGCCGACTCATCCCGGGGCCTGCAGTCTGGCCCTCCAATGGTCTGAGGGACATTGAACTGGCCCCCTGTTTAAAAAGTTTGAGGACCCCTGCTGTAAGCCATAGAACTGAGGGGCCACTGAGGACCCTTTTCTCTGCTTGGTCTTTTTATGTTGACAAAATTCCGACTATGATTAGAAGCCCCCTTTTGAACCAAAACGTTGATTGTTCAAAGTTCCTGTTGGACTGTATATATTTAGGGGGAACATTCAATCTGTCATGTTGCTGTTCTATTAGCTTTTCTTCTCATTCTCTTAACAAAGGGCAGAGCCCCTGGGATAATGTGATTCCGAATCCAAGACATTTCTGAATGGAATTGGGTTGGGCACCCTTTAATAAGCATGGAAACATAGCAGGGGTGGCATTCGGGATGATTTTAGGGAAAACACAGGTGGAATGTTACAAAATACTGAAGACCCTGTTCTTTTCAATTCTCCCTCAGTAATTCTGAGTCGTCCAAGGCCAGAACCTCAGATCAGTGCCCGGATATCCTTGCTTCTCTAACACCAGCAAACCTTTCTTTTTAACAAACTTGGAGAGGAAAGAATGTCCAGTAAACACTGATAACATCTTCATTCATGTATTATATTCATTTTTATGATACTTGCCATTATTTTGAGTGACCACAAACTTTCACTGATACCAGTTGATGGTTAAGTTCTTTTCAAATATTACTGTTGACATTAAGAAGATTGCATTTATTAAAGAAAAACTGTGGCTTAATTCATCTTAGGAGTTGCAGAGGGGTGTGGCAGCAAATGTATGGCACGGAATTCTGATGTTTGAGAGCTGTCAGGGTAGAGGAAAGATGGGACATGCCTCTCCCAGGGGAACGGAGCCACAAACAGGCACAAAGAGAGGGGCAGCGGCTTCCAGGAGGAGAGCTGGAGGTACAGCTGGACATCCAGAGTTGGAAACAGGGTAAAAAGAGTGAGGGAAGCACCTTTGTGTGACTTAGGGCATGGAGGACAAGTTGTCTCCTTTCCAGAGTGGCAATCCAGCAGACGTCAGCTTGTCTTACGAGGGAGGGTAAGACGCTCTCCTTCCAGAGGTGGAGAAAGAATGACTGCCTTTCGTCCCGCTGTGCAGTCCTGTGGTTTAGGTGCATTTCCCAACCTCATTTGCTCATGGATTGCTTTTGTCACTGTGCTCTGATAGCACGCTCTTCTCAAAAACATCTGTGCAGTAAGGAATTCCTGTGTTACAGCCACACGAGGTAATACCATTTGTGAATTACACCTATTTATTTTCTTTTCCCTGGTTGCACTTACTCGTATAGTAGATCCTGAAGACCATTGTCAACTCAGCCGTTTTCTGATCATCTCCCGAGCCTAGTATTTTGTTTTCACATAATCCTTCTTGCTTCATCCTGGTATTCCTCTTTTAATCTTTAATTTTCATCCATTTTTAGGACAGCTAAGGCCAGGTACACCCCTTTGGCTTATTTTCACATTTGTGCATATCGATTTCCAAGTCAAGCTGCTTTAGAAATATTCTGTTAGTTAACAGCATTATGGTGGCTGACTCCCCACGTGAAATTTTTTGAGAACCTCAGTTGAGCTCACATTCTCTTTAAATGATCACAGGAACGCTGCTGCTCAAACTTCTAAAATAGAAATCAGACTCTCTTCCCACATAAAGCAGTTTAGTGGTGACACACTGGAGAGACGCCTTAGCACCCCCAGAGGGCAGGCAGGCAACTCTTTCAGAGGAATCTGTCCATTGTCAGGATCTGACCCAGACCATTTCTGAGAAAAAGTTCATTTGATAATTTTCTGATTTTTCTCCCTCCTGCTTTCCATCTAATGACTTCACTTTTTCTGTTTCATTTCCCAATCCTGAACATCAGAATTCAAAGAGGCCCTCTTTAGGGAGCGCGTGCTAAAGTGCTCTGTTAGACAATATATTTATTACCTGGACTGAAATGGCCTTTCACACCAGGCAGTTTTCTAAGCCTCCTTGCTACCTCTATATTTAAGAAAGTTGCTCCTTTCATTTTGCTGGACAATGGATCTATGTCAACCAGTGAAGAGAGAATGTATGTGTGCACATGAGAGTGAGTGTGTGAGAGTGTGTGTGTGCATGAGAGTGTATGAGAG